GGGAGTGTTTCTAGGAAAATCAGGTTCCGAGAAATTTTTGACTAAAATTAAGAGCTTAATACATTTTAATCTAATAATATCAAAAACTAAAATGCAATAAAATCTCAATTTTGCTAAAAAATTTCCAGAACCTGATTTTCCTAGCAATCAACCCATATTTTAATTTATTTTTATTCTAAAAATTATAGGTTTATTTATAAAGAAATTAAAAAAATTAGATTAACAGTAAAACATCCCTTTTATTTACAAAAAATTTGTTAATAAAGAATAATTTAAATTAATAAATTGATTATCTATAAATTTATACTAACATTAGATAAATATGCTCATGTTTATTTCACAAATCATAAAGATATTAGCAACAAATTAAGGAATCCTTAGAATTTGATTTGATAAATTCAGTTAATTATGTTAGAATAGTAGATTTTTTTTTTTAATAGGTAATTAAAAAGATTTTTATTTTTTTTATGTTATTAAATTCAGTAATCAACATCAACTATATTCGAACTAGATGAACTACTTAGTTAACAAATCTAATGAACATCTAAGTCAAATAAACAATCACCTGAGCTGTCCCAACTGAATATTTTATTCCAGTATCACCGACACTTTTTACTCCACGTGACTTTTGGCTGGCATTATGGAATTAAGAAAATTTTATCACAGCAAAGCGATTTGAACATCAACAGAAATCACTGGAAGATTATTAAAAAAAAAAAAAAAATTTATTATATTAATTATTAATAATATCTAAGAATTCTGGCTATTTCTTCATATTATAATGTAAAGAAAAATTTAATTGTGTATAAATAAAAATGATTAAATTGCTAACGTGAAAAATAAATGCTTTATTTTTGAAATGATTTAAGAAAAAAATGATTTAATTTTCCGGAGCGTTGCATATTAAAATCATGTGAAACCGCAGATGTTTAGTAACAATTTAAAACCCATGTATAATTAAACTTTTTTTTTTAAAGTATGTATTATTAACCCTCTGAAAAATTTGAAATAAATTTTATTGTATTAAAATTGAAATTATATCCTTATTTATTTAAAGGATAAACATATTATATTATACAAAATATTGATGAACCTTCTAATTTTTATGCATGTGAAATGATTTTTTTTTTTTTTGTTACCGATTTTATTTTTATCAATCAAACATTATATATTGTAAAGGTTAACTATCGACATTCATCAAAAAAAATTGTTCCTTTCTTCACGAGCCAACTTTGGTTATCCTTAGAATAGTAATATCTTTCATTTATAATCCTTTGGCAGCAAGAGACTGAGCTGATTGAGAAGATCTTTGAGAGATGAATCTATCTAATATAGGAATCAATTGTTGAGCCACGGTGAAAGAGAATACCAATTTAGGTCCAACTACTATTAACTTGGGTGTTATACCCTTAAAAAACGATGAAGGACCTACAAAAATAAAATAAAATAAAATTAATTAAAATAATTAATTCAAAAAGGGATCAAACATAAATTTAATTACCTTCTTTTTTAATCATATTCTTAATAATTTGTACACCACCTTCGGGTGCATCAAAAGGTCTATTTTGAATACGGGTTTTTACCACATCAAGTGGTTGAGCCACAGAAATAGAGGCGGTAGCCCCACCAATTGAAGCACAGAAATTTTGGAAAAATGTTGCTTTGGAATAATCATTTAATCCAAATATATATTCTTTTACGACAGCAGATCCTCCAAACTGTAAGAGGTACAGAATTTAGCTTATGGATATATAAAGTGTAAATAAATAAAGATAAATAACATAATTACCAGAGCAAAACTGCCAGGAGCATTACGCGCAGCCGTCCAGAGACCACCTCTGATTTATATCAATCACATGTTAGTTAGTTTCAATACAAAAAGTGATTTTAAAATATTCGTATTCTACCTATAAAGTCCTAATCCTTCGTCCCAAAAGATTTTAAAGATGTTACGTCCTCTCAAAGTTTCAGGAGCAGTTTGGCGTTTGATTTTCAAAACGTCTAATGGAAGAAGTGCCACTTCACCAATACCGATTAAACTAAAAAAGAAGATTAGAGATCAACTTTAATTCTCAAAAAAAAAAGAAAAAAAACGCGGAAAAACGCGAAAAAAAACTTTAAAAAATCATCAAGAAAGTTACCTTCCAGCTGTAGCGTGTATTATAGTTTTACCACTTTTCTCACCAAATATACTATAAAAAGTACTTTTATGATGAGTATTAATGTAATCTTTTACATAAGGTTGACCTCCATATTTATAAATACGTTGAAGGACTTTATATCCTCCAGCATATCCTAAACCAGGGAATAATGATGTGTATTTTTTCAATGTTGAAGCAGAAGCAGAGTTCTATATTAATTTTCAAAAAAAAAGAAAAAAAAAAGAAAAAAATCAATCTTAGTTTAGTAACAAATTTAACTAATAAGATTTTATAAGCTATTTACCCTGAAGATAACTTTATCAAGGTTGTTAAATCCTTGAGATAATGACGCTCCTGATGCAAATATCTATAATAATTAATAATTACAATAATTAATAATTATAATTAATTTAACAAATTTTTTGGGGGGGAATAAAATTTCGTACCTTGGTAGGATTGGTCATTAGCCGTTTGGCTACCGTATCGACAGGGTGAAATAAAAATAATTCTAATATCCCTGAAGTACCTGAACCTATTAAACGGGCAAGCCCGGATTCTGATTTACCAGGTGGTGACATAGTTTATAGACAAATTACTTTTTTTTAAGAAAATAAAGGAAAAGCTTTTATTGTTTTGTGAGAAAGGAAAAATTTTTTTTCTCAAAACTTTGAAAGAAATGTTCCGTTTATATGGCGACAATAAAATATTTTGATCAAAAATAGATTTAAATGATCTTTTGTGGCTTGTTATCTATAGATATTGATTGGTTATAATATTGCGAGGGAGATTGATCCAAAAAAATCCAAAAAAGCACATAAATCAGATTAATCAGCCAAAAAACTAAACTGCGGGTGATCTGACTTTTTTTTGTATTTCAAACTGCCCATACAAGTAATTCCTTGATGGATAAATTCAAGTTTTTAATTTCACGTTACATTAGATCTTAGATAATATAATTCTCGCTTTCTCCCATTTCATCTAGATTTTTATGATTATATTTATCAGATCAAAAAGTGGCGTACATCACATATACGGGTTACAAATAAAAAGGCCGAAAAATATTCTGTTTTAAAAAAAAAATTCTCTCGCTGTGGTCACATGACAATACATGTTGTACAAGGTGAATAAGATTGTCTAACCCAGCTTCCCAGGTATATGAGCATGATGGAAGTTTATGTTTATTGGTTGATCATAAAATAGAACAAATCGAACATGATTGGCTAATACATATC